ACATCTTTTGCAAAAGTAATTAAATAATCAGTTTTGCTTTTTAAAAAGGAGGTGCAAAGCATCATGAGAGACCAAGCATTGTATGAACTCTTTCTCTGAACTGATTAGACTGAAATTAATTGCACGTAGTGGCTGATTCATAAATCAAACATTCTCTGGATAATGTATCACTGAATACCTCATTTAATCTTTGTGATATTTGTATTTTTTTCTCTATTCACACTAGGATTACATGTCGCCACTGGAGACAAAAATTATCTTTGATTTCCATAATTATATCTGTGGGTCCCTTTGATCATGTTCCACCCTTTGCTATTGTTCCCATCACTGTAGTGAAATCAAATGCAACAGAATAGGCCAACATCTGCTACTTATACTATTCTACCAGAAAAACGAACCCTTTTTTTGGTGTTGGGAAAAGAAAAAGCTATTTTAAAAGCTTTTTGTTCGGTAATTAGTTCTTAAGCAGAATGCTTTCAGGTTTATAATGATCTAAGCAAAAATAATCTTATTATCAAATGTGTTTTTATGATTTACAAAAGCAAATGGTACAAGTAAGATCGGAAACAAACCAAAGGCATTATTACAAAGTATAACTGCCAAGGTGCTGCTTTAAAAAAATATCACACTATCTATTTCAGGCACTAGACAGGCTTTTCTTCACTCTGCTAGTTGCTCTCTGCCATTGAGTGGTCCCCAATCAATGCTTGTCTATTTCATTTTTGTTCTAGACTCCATAGAGAAAGCTTGCTATTAGCTACAATTCTAATTTTGACTGAGATTTGTTTTCTAAATTTGTTTTCTACGTGGATTTTGCCACTCAGGAATATGTAAATGCAGCAAGGGCTTGGAAATAGGCACACTCTAATTGGGTTTATCCTCAGAAAGGTCATTCAGTGAGCAGACACTCTAGCTGGAACCCAAATCCTGAAATGACTAATTACTTGCAGTGACAAAACAATTGAATGGTGGCAGAAGAAGAGAACTGCTGGAAATGAAGAATCAAAGGAACACACAACAGCTAATAGAACTGATATGTACATTTGAATAGTGTGAAAATCACTTACATTTGTGTAGAACTTGAAGTAAAACATAACAACATCAATACGTAAGAAAATACCAGATAACCAGTGGTCATAAATTATGCCATTCATCTTTCTTATAAATATGGTAAACATCTTTTCAAGAGATTTAAAAGAATAGAAAAATGAAAATGTACTCACCCTCAGGCCATCCAAGATGTACATGAGTTTGTTTCTTCATCAGAACAGATTTGGAGAAATGTTATGTTTGTAACAAAGAAATCTATCAAGGCGTTTTAACTTTAAACCAGTGCTTCTAGCCAAAATTGGAGTCCACCACAATCCATAATAATGCTTCCTCTATAGTGAAAAAGTCCAGCCCCTGTTGAGACGAGACAACTTTTTCACTGGAGAAAGCAATACTTGTGGATTATCATGATGTTTTTATCAGCCGTTTGGACTCTCATTCTGACGGCACCCATTCACTGCAGAGGATCCACTGGTTAGAAAGTAATGCTACATTTCTCAAAATCCAGTTTCAATGAAGAAACAAACTCATCCACATCTTGGATGGCCTGAGTACATTTTCATTTTCAGGTGAACTATTCCTTAAAATCTCGTGAAAATATGTTTACCATATTTTTAGATATTTTGAAAAATGTTGTTAACCAAACAGTTGCGGGTATCCATTGACTTCAATAGTATGACAAATAATACAGGTGCATCTCAATAAATTAGAATGTCGTGGAAAAGTTCATTTATTTCAGTAATTCAACTCAAAATACTATATACAAAATTTTCATTTTGGGTGAACTATTTAAGGTAATGGCTAAATGCATGTTTGTTTGTTTTTTAACACAACAGAAAATGGCAAATAAATACTTTTAAACAAACATTAAAATAGATATTTGATGGCTAATAGAAAACTTTAAACGTCAAGTTTTCTGGGCCAAATCCAGATTTAGAAACTGCAATGCTTTAACACAGTGTGATTTCGCTTCCCCATGTTAATGAACCTGTCTAATCAACAGAGCCCCTTGAACCTTTCTGCTCCACAGTCATAAAGCGCATGCCTGAGGAAGCCTTGCCTCGAAAGCACGCTGTGATAGGCAAACTAGCGCTCTATGCTCACATAAAACAATGCCAACTCACAGCATGGCATGTCACTTTGTAAGCCAGATAAGCAGTTCATTTACAAAAATACCCCTTACTAACAAAATGCAGATTTATTGTCATTACCAGCAATGACATGCCAAAAGAGATTTTCTTATTTGCATTCTATAAAGCATGTTAAAAACTGATAACAGACAACAGTGGGCATTCTATTGCATCTTTTTCCACACCACCACCCACCCTTAGTTCTGTTGCTTAACAACACTCATCACATGAGAGCTGCTTTATATTAAATGCATAGATTTTTTCTTATTTCCCTATTATATCATGACAAACTCAAAAAGAGGTGACCCCCCACAGCAGATATTGGACCTCAGGTTTCTGTCCACGGTTCTTCGTTCTGGAAACTTTTTTAAACATAAATGCAGCGTGATCATATGGCTGGAGAGGCTCCGAACAACGCCATTAGCTGGCAGGATGAACACAAACATGGAGACTGGCAGCGCCCTGCAGTTTCATAACTAGCCTCTGTCTCAGATATGATGGTTGGGTAAATAATAATATTCTCCTAAGTGATCAGAAGTGCCATCATCAGCAGATAAACGTGGGGACAGTGTGTGGGAAAAGTCATTCAAGAACCATTGTTTTGCTCCAGTGGAAAACAGGGTTCATGCGAGCAGTTTATCAGAAAGTAAATAGCCACAGGCCGTATGTGATATTATAAACATGAGGAAAGGAAAGACATGGGTCAATCCAACACAAAAGTCTTCCATTTGTATGAGGTTTTATCATAAAAGTGATTTAGTGTCACAATATTACTTGGAGTAATAGTTTCATATTTTTGTTATTATTATTATTATTTTAATATTTATTCATAATCTGAGATCATGCTCTCACCAGCACCACAAATTTTATTGGTCTCAGTCAGAATATGATTCTGTGCTGTCTCATAGCAACCTAAAAATAGAACTGTCCCTATTATGCTATATATGACTGAAATGGCTGGAACAAGTTATGGGTGTGTAATTGCAATGCAAACTCTGACAATAAGCTGTGGAAATGCTGCCATTGTCTGTAAATGGATGGATGGATGTATAGATAGACAGATACACAGATAGATATCTGATTGCCCCTACTTACATAACAATGGGTATTTGAACTGTTCCAATCAAAATAATGTGTGCACTATAGCCTAATCAGTACTATATGCAGCTATTGAAATACTGAGTATGTTACAAATAATTATTTTCTCTTGTTCATAATAAATGGCAATCTGTGTCATGAACAAGATTATGGTTTTATTAATCTGAACTTGTGCTATGCCAAAATTATAAATAGCCTAATACTACACTAAAATCAACATTTGTTTATACTGTAGTTATAATATTACAGAAACATCTAAACCAGCTACTCATTTAATGTTGACACAGTC